CCCCAAAACCCCAAAACCCCAAAACCCCAAAACCCCTCCAGAGTTAGAGGTAGTAGAAATATCCAATTTTTAATTAAATTTGCCATAAATGGAATCTTCAACACCAAACTGGCAGAAACATAAAGATCTACTTACAGAGGCTGGAATTGACTTTGATCTTATTGAGGAGACAAGGAAGTACATTCACAAGAATGCTGAGCCTGGATTCAAGGAGTTCAAGACTAAGGAGAAGATCTTAGAGCACTTTTCTGACATTGATAAAGAGCATATCAAAGAATATGCCACAACTGGACTCACTATAGATATCACAGGGACTGCTCCACCCACTGAGGATGGAGAATGCAATGTCGTTGCATTCAGAGCTGATATGGATGCTCTTCCCATGAGTGAAGAAACAGGTGCTGAGTATACCTCAGTCACTGATTGCGCCCACATGTGCGGTCATGATGGACATATGGCTATTCTCATCACAACAGGAATGTTTTTGAAGCAACATAGAGATAAAATCCCAAGTAATAAAACTATCAGATTGCTCTTCCAACCTGCTGAAGAAAGCCCAGGAGGTGCCAAACCAATGATTGAAGAAGGATGTCTTGATGGTGTCGATGAAATCTATGGATATCACAACGCCCCGTTCGGAGAAGAAGCAACCATCACTTGTAAACCTAAAGAATTAATGGCTGGTGTGACAATTGTCAATATCGAAATTGAAGGTAAAGGAGGACATGGATCTGAACCTGCCAACTCTATCGACCCTATCACTGCTGCAGTGAATGTCCACAGTGCATTCAATACTATTAAATCAAGGAATGTACCTTCAACATAGACGTCGTTGCCTTCACCATCTGCTCCTTCAATTCAGGAACAGTCTGCAATGTAATTCCCAGAGTTGCAAAGATGTCAGGCACTATCAGATACTACGACGAAGAAGTTAGAGACAAAGTAGTTGAGAGAATCCACCAAATCACTGAGAATGTAAGCAAGGCCTTCAACTGTAAAGGCACTGTTAACGCTGATAATGTCTATCCAGCTGTTCTTAACCATGAAAAACAGACTGAGATAGTACTAGATATTGCTGAAAAGGAGTTAGGAGAGGAAGGTGTTAACACTACTAAGCACTTACCTTGGTTTGCAAGTGAAGATTTTTCATTTTTCTTGCAGAAGATCCCTGGAACTTTCATTTTACTAAATAATGTGAAGCCAGGGGATGAGCCAGTCTCCTTGCATTCCTCCTACATGGACTATAATGACCACTTGACTCCAACTGGTGCATATTTAAACATCAGAATTCTTGAGAACAGGCTTGGATTTTCAGTGCTATAGGTTTCAATTCCAATTAAGATATTGGGGTTTTGGGGTTTTGGGGTTTTGGGGTTTTGGGGTTTTGGGG